CCGTTATCTATATCCTGCTGAATAAGTCACTAATTGATTTTGCGATTTATCTAGTTGTTGTCACTTACTAGTGCTTCATAATCTGAGCGGAGAATTTCTCAACAGTAGAGGGCAGCAGCTTTGCCGACATGGTCCTCGTGATGGCTGCCGGTATCCAACCGCCTGGGTCTGATTCGTTGAATAGGGTGACTTCACTCCACACTGAGGCAAAAGAACAAGTTGTACAGCAGTGCTCAATATTATTTCGTTAACTGAGAAGATAAAAATGTCTTCGACTTTTCTACTGAGAATGGTAACGTTGTTCGTAGTTGCTGTACTCGTTAGCAAGTCGAAAGAAATAGCGAAATTCATTTGCTTACAAGTAGGAAAGGCAAGCACGGACTCGAATACGGAATCAAGCAACAACGCAGCACTAAACACTTATCAACATAAGCAGAAGAAACGCCTCATGTCGGACAGGGGGCTCACAGCCAAATGGAGTCCAGACAGGCTTAGCGAGATATGCGTTCACGCGAATGTCCATTCGCACACGACCCGGCCTGTCCACAAAAGCAGAAATATCGCAAGTTTGGGAGTTTAAGATCTGTGGCAGCATCCAGCAGGGCCAGCCTACAGTCGAAGGCAGACCAGCCTACAGTCGAAGGCATGCATATACACATCCCTGTGGGACGAAAAGAAATGAGGGCCCGTGAAAATCTCATATAGTAACTGTGGCTCATCAGTCTTGGCATCAATTTGACCGTGAAAGCAACAAAAACGCAGTTCACTTAGTGGGATTCCGAAACGATGGGATGGAAGCATGGTAACAATACTGAGACAAGCAAAAGTGCTTAGAAGGGTGGGAACGTACGCCTCCGGCACATCAGGATGGTCTATAGAACAGCTCATGGACGCATAAGCTGTTGCCTCTGCCTCTGCCTCTGTTCCTTGTCCGTTGCTGCTGGTGGTGCTGAGAGCGCCGTCAGCTTCTGGCAGCCCCTCTGTTGATCCTGCTACTTTCGGGTTGGTCCTGAATCTGCACTTGACTCGAAGTGTACAGACATCGCGAGGGTACACCGTAGCGACGCGCCGGAAAGCCACATAACATATGTCATGGCCTGCGTCCAGCTGCTCCACCACATGCTGCTCCGTGACGTTCTTGTCCCACAGAGACCGCAGATCGGAGTTGCTCGCGAAACTCGCGTACAAACGAGGTGAAACGGGTAGGAGAAATGTTGCTAAGTGCACACACACAAGCAAGCCAGAGAAGCAGCATTCTGAAGCTTATGGACAACCTGCAGCAGCTGCTGCCTCTCCTCCCCTGAGGCCTCTGCGCTGTGTCGGCCTTAAGAAGTTCACAAAGCCAAAATGCCTGTGCTAACTCCACAGCAAAGGCACCGAATGCAGCGGCAGCAGCAGCAGCAGCAGCAACAGCAGCGCCAATGTCCACGCACCTCTGCATGCCAAGTTTCCCACCCCAGACTCTCCCTTCCAAACTTGAATTCCGTCGTGAGAATGAACACAAGGCATGTTAAGCCCCTCAGAACCCAACATGGAGCGCACAGAGGCGTTAATAAGGACAGAAGAGAGCGACTGCACCTCCTGGCGTCGGTCCCAAGTGCTGCTGCTGCTGCTGCTGCTGCTGTCTGTTGTTGCTGCTGCTTGTCGCTGAAGCTTGTTGAAGCGCATGCGCTGCTGCTCAAGTTTCTCAAAGAGGCGGCTCATGTCCTCCGCCGCCATCTCCTCCAGCGACACCAGCGGCCACATGCTCACCTGAGGGCCGATGGGAAGGGAAGCAGCAGCAGAAAGCGACGGCGAAGCAGCAGCAGAGGCTGCAGCAGATGCGGAAACCGAGGGAGCTGCGACTGCAGCCGCTGCATCTGCTGCAGCAAATCCTGCGGACGGGGCCTCGCCCCGCGCCTCCAAGTGGCTTCCGCCGAAAGGCTCCGGCCCCGCTGCTGCTGCTGGCGCAGCAGGAAGCGCACAAGCAGCAGAGTCCAAGAGGTCGCTGCTGGGTGAAGCTGTGGCTGTTGCTGCTTCCTGAGTGGCCGTCCTGGCCCCGTCTTCTGCTGCCTCCAGCCCCTCGAGCCCCCGCCTGGGGACCGCCTGGGGGCAGAGCATTTGCATGCAAGTGCATGCATCTGTGGGGCTGGCGTACTGGCTGGGTTTGTCTGCGTCTTCGGAGCCGGCTTCGTCCTCGACCTCGCCCGTGGCCCGCGCCTCCTCCGCGGGGTGTACGTACACCCCAGAGCCCGCCTCCTCCCGCGCCCCGTGGCCCTGCCAGTGCTTGCCGCCACTATTCAAGTTTGCCGCAGAACTGGGCTCTTGGTGGTGCCTCCTGCGGCGCCGCAGGCGCAGCCGGTGGCGGCGGCTCGCCCGCGGAACTGCAACACTGACTTGGGCCTGCGCAGACTGCCGCCAGTCCACCACGCACCTGTCTTCTTTGATGTACATACACCGCAGGCGGCGCGCGAGGAAGCGGATCCAGCGGGGCTGCCGCTGAGGCACCACCAGGGGCTGGTCGTCAGCAGCAGCAGCAGCAGCAGCAGGAAACGCAGCAGCATCATCCCCAGTGGGCGGGCCCTGGCGAGGCCTCTGGCCGCCGGGGTTCTTCCGGCCCCTCATGTAGACGAGCGAGAGATAAGGGCTTGCGACTGCTGCTCCTAGCTCGCGTGCAGCAGCTGCTGCTGCTGCTGCTGCTGCTGCTGGCAGCAGACGGCCGGCGAGGGGGGGACCCGGGCTGCTGCGCGGTTTGCTGTCGAGAGGATAGACCCGCCACCCCGACCTACATGTTCTGCTGACAGCAGGCCAAAGAAGTCGCAGCAAAAAGGGCAATTAGCTGCGCCCAGGCCACTCATAGGAGCCGCAGGGGGTCCAGCAGCAGCGGCTGCTGCAGCCGCAAGTTGCGCGCTGCTGCTGCTTGGCGGCGAGCTATTTGCTGCAGTGCGTGCCTCTTAGTGGCAGCAAATTAGAGGAAGTAGGTCGACAAAGTGGCAAGAGTCAGTGCGTCCTTCACAAGAGAAGAGCCAACTACGGAGCCCAGCAGCGGGCTCGTGCTGCGCTGCTGTGCTGCTGCGCAGCTGTGCCGCTGCGCTGCTGCACTGCTGTGCAGCAGCAACTAGCGCGTCACTGCGTGTGTGTACAGACTCACTGCAGGCGGGCTGGAGCCCCTGCTGGTCTGCGGCGCGCTGCCCGGCCGCGAAGAAGCAAAGACGACTCGAAGGCAGTCGAAGTGGCTGGCCGGCAGATGCAGCAGGCACTGGAGGTGGTGAAGCTACGCTGCTTGGCACTGCCCTGCTGCTGCTCGCTGGGAGAGCGAAGACGGGGGAAGAAGCGCCGTCTCCTGGTGCCGTGGGCTCCTCAACGGGGAGGCAGGCCAGCCAGGCACTACTATCTGGAACGTCTGTAGTGAGCGCAAGACAGATTTGAAGGAGGTACAGACGGCAGGCAGGGGGCGGAAAGCAGGCGAAGTGAATCGCGGCTGTCAGGGCGAACAGGCACGGGCTGGAGACCAAGGGGAGGTACCCAGAGCCTGTGAAACACGGGGACGGTGGTGCAGTGAAGTGGAAAAATAAACTGAGGCAGCTCACTTAGAAGAAGAAGGAAAGATGTTAAACTACATTTCAAAGATAAGGGCAAGCTTTAAATTACGCGCCCCGGTCGGCAGCACACCTGCCGCTGCCCTGGGGCTGTGTGGCGCATGTATGCGTCCGTACGTGAAGCGATTCTCGCCTATCAAATCAAGAAAAAAGCGTATACAAAAAGATAATAATTAATGATGGCCCTAAGCAACAAAGTATTTGAGTCAGGCCCTGCGTTAGGCTAACGAGCACAGAAGCGAGGCACACAGGAAGGGATGAACACAAGCGCATGCGCGGGTCGACATCGCTGCTTGGAACTGGTCAATAATGAGAAAAAAGTTCCGTTTGTGAATCTCATAATTAATAATTCAAATTATACAGACTAAAATGAACAAAGTTTGCTGGGATTTGCCCCTGTGCTGAGGTGTACGGGCACCACTGTCTGCAGGGCGTCAATCTGGTGCCACCTGCTCTTGATGCAGCCCCACCTGGAATGCTTTCAAGGCTCTGTTTGAATCATCGTTTAAGAATCTGCTCTTCTTCTTCCTGTTTGCTTCTAATGCTTCCTCTCTGCTTCCTTTTTAGCGTCAGGAACGCACTCTGTGGGGTGGAGCCTCTGCTCCTACTTAGTCCAAACGAGGCAGCAGGCACGCCAGAGGAGGCCTTCGCCCAGTTTCTTTCTTTACAGTCTCTAATACTCTGTTTTTGATTCCGAAGCATCATCTCCGATTTACGTGCAATACAAGGAGCTTCGTCATTGACAGCGTCTCTCTGTGTCACGATCCCTGGACGTTGCATCGTCAGGTTTATTCTGTCCACTGTCTTCGAACCTGCCTTCCTGCCAAACGGCAGCAAAGACCTAGACAGTTCTGTGCCTCTTGACGACGAGAAAAACTTGGTGTGGAGCTTCATCGCAGCCTCCCTGAGGGAATCTGGGAGATCTTTGTTGCGAGGGTTCAGCGTCGACTGCACTTGAAGTATGCCGAGGCTGCATGCACGCCACTCATAGGCGCTGTCGCACAGGGGAGCGGCGGGGCCACCTCCGGCAGAGTTGCCATTGACTGCAGCAGCAGCAGCAGCAGAAGATGGGCAACGCACAGAAGGCGCAGCATGCACTTGGGGTCTTTTGCTTGCTGCTGTCAGCTGCCCAGTTCGCACTCACGGAGGCACAGGGGGCAGCCACTGCGGCCCACGCGCAGTCTCGCGAGAACCAGTGGACCACTGCTGCTGCAGGGTGGCCCGATGGCTCCAGGCCGGGGCTTGACTCCCCTGCCTTTGCTGCTGCTGCTGCTCCTGCTGGCCACCAGGGAAACGACGCAGCCACTTCTGCTCAAAGGGGCAGCTACAAACAGTCTTTCGGGGGTAGTCTGCCCCTGACTGGGCACTCAGCGCCGCACCTGGCAGCAAACAGGAGGCCCCCAAGGGGGGAATCAGCGGCGGATGCTGTATGCTCCACAGGCAAGCAACCTGCAGCAGCAGCAGCAGCAGCAGTTGTGCGTAGTTCTTTTGAACTTGAGTTTGCACCTTTTGCCTCCCACAGAAGTGATTCGAAAGCCGGTTTCTCTGCAGCAGCAGCTGCATGCGCGGGAGCCTCTCTGTGAGCTGTTCTTTGGTTTCATTTTAGAGTAAAGTGCAGCAAAAGAGAGAATTGGCGGAGTCTGTTGCTGCTGCGTGGGGCTTGCTGCTACAGGGCTGCGGCTGGCGTTTGACTGCGCGCTGCGGCGCGTAGTGGCCTTCGGCGTGCGGGACCATTTGGTGGACAAGTACAAATTGCCCATGGTGCCTCTGGATGTTTGCCAGAGCGAAGTGCTGCTGGACGTGGAGCAGTGCATTCCCGTGGACTTCATGGACAAGTTTCCCTCCGACACTTTGATAGAGGTGAGGCAGCAGCAGCAGCAGCAGCAGTAGCAGCAGCAGCAGCAGTAGCCGCAGCAGCAGCAGCAGTAGCAGCAGAACCAGAGCAGCAGCAGCAACAGCAGTAGCAGCAGTAGCAGCAGTAGCAGTAGAAGCAGCAGCAGCAGCAGCGGGGGGCGCTGCTGCTGCGGGCGCAGCGGGGAAAGCCCAGAAGGCGGGTCCGGGGGAGTGGCGGGCTGCGCAGGTCGTGAGGCAGAAGCAGCTGCTGGTGGGTACCATGGACTTCAGCGTGTTTCCGCAGCTGGCCGCGGACCAGGGCTACACCGCAGGCTTTTACCCCGAGCTGGTGCAGGCGGTGGCGCAGGAGCTGACTGTGATAGTGCTGCAGAACCCGGGGCTGCGGCGGGAGCTGGTGGGGGAGCGCGAACTGGACATCAGCATTCTGAACCAGTCCTTCAGCAAGCGCGTGCAGGACATAAAGGCTGCAGTGGCGCAGGAGCTCCTCATCGGCGCTGCATGCAGCGAAGAGGCGAACGGCGCAGCGGGCCACGGGCTGCAGCAGGCGGCCGCGGCTGGCAGGGGGTCTATGGGCCACGGCGAGGCTCTGGGGGGGGAGGGGAACTTGCCGTGGCAAGACACGCTGGTCTGCGGGGATGTCAGTGGCTCTGCTTCCACATGTCAGTTGCACGGCTGCCTCTCCCCGTGGGGAGAAGTCCCCAAGGAGTTCCAGATCGCAGTCACCCACGTCAAGTTCAGCACCCCCATGAACTTGGTGGCGGCGGTGCATCGAGGCGAAGTCCACATGACAGACGTAGGCACCATCGCCTCCGCCTACCTCCCGGAGAAATACAATTTCCTGCCTCTCAGAGAAGTGCTGGAGCCCTCCTGCACCGTCGGAGCCTGGAAGAGCTTCTTCTTGCTGCGGGACCCAGCAAGTCGCCGCCGCCGCGGCCGGCGCCAGACTTCCGCCGACCCTGAACAGCAAAACTTCGCCAGAAGTGCAGCGGGAACTTTTGAGAAGGGAGGAGTAAACGTTTTGGGCTCAACGCTCGGCTGGTCGGGAGGGATCAGCGGCGGCAGAGGGAGCGGTGGGAGAAACACCAGCCCTGGAAAGAGCCCCCCTGGGAGTGGCGGAAGCAAGGATATTTCGAAGGATAGGCGACACCAGCGGCCTGGCAGCATGTCAGAGTCCACAAACCTGATGAACCGGATGGAAAGCTGGGAGGAACGCATGCGACGGACGCGCAGCCTTTTCTTCAAGCTGTATGGAGTGCAGACAGAAGCAGCCACAGGCAGCAGCCAGCACGCCTCAGCCTCCTCCAGCCCACCTGGCGCAAACTCGATTAGCCCCAGCCGCAGCGCAGACACTGAAACTGCGTTCGAAGAGAAAACTCTTGTCAAACTTCAAGCTGTTGACCACTTTCTGTATTCCTACTTGTTCCCTCAAGAGTTCAGGATATCCAGTGTGAGAAAGTGAGTTGAAATATGCTTGTCGCTTCTTACCTAGTCAGCTATATTTGGATTATTTATCCTTACTAAACTCGCTGCCACAAAGTTCCTCAACTGTGGCCAGCAGGAGGCATCACGAAGTAGCCCTTCAGCTCATTCAGGTCATTCACCACAATTTTCTGCACAGTTCTATTCCGTATCTTCCTGCCTGCGCATTTTGTCTTCCCTGTGGCAGACTAACTGACTTGTCATCCGTCTTGAGTGATGGGGAGCCAGTGGGAGCATTTGGGTATGGCCTGGCAGGGCGGGGAGGCCGGCGGCGGATATCGTTGAGCTCAATGTGGCGGTGTCACCCACAGCAGCGGCGACTTCCAGGCGTGCTGGCCTCACGATTTCGGAGGGAGCCTCTGGGCTCTCTGGTTTCTACCAACTCACGGCAAAGGCGATCATGCGACTACCACCCAGTGGCGAGACATGGGCTGCGCCAGGACGACGGAGTCGTGGAGTTTCCAGGACCTCTTGTGCCTTTAGCTGCATTCTTTGCTAAAAGCAGAGACCCTACTTGTCGAGGACTGCATAAGCGAACTGTGAATACTACGGCGGAGAAGCATGCGGTGCTCAGTTCTGCGGCCTTCTCCCCGTCGCCTGTGCAATGTTTCCAGGCCCTTGCAATCAGTTGTTTAATCTGTATTTTATTTGCTATACTATGACGTGTTTCGTACGAGCTGTATGGCCTTCGAGAAGACGCACAGCCCTCAGGACGCCGCTGTGTTCGTGAGGTGCCTGTTGCTTGGATGCTGACGAAGGAGATGAAACCAAGAAAATGAGAATGAGGCATCCGGAAGACCGGATACGTCGCAGTTCTTTGACTCAATTCATCTGCGCAAGCGTCAGTGAGCGCGTGACAGATGATGATGCAAATCATGGTGGCGCGGCAAGCAGGCCTTTCCCTGCCTCCCGCCCATTCCGCCTGTGTCGGACCTTTGAAACTATTGGCAAGGCTCACAGGCCGCACAGTTACACTTGTCCTCAAATAGCAAAGTGAACCTGTAATGGAGCTGTTGCTCGCCTATTCAATCCAGCTCAACATCCAGCGACGTTCACAGAATGCTAAGTTCCTCAGTAGCCATGAACTACCGGTTGTAATATTGTCTTTAGGTTCTAACAGTGCCAGAATAAACCATGTCAAGTAACTAAAACAACTTTGGTAGAGCGAGTCTTTCGGGCAGCTCACGGCGGAACGGTGCGGCCGTACCTTGGCCCTCCTGCCGTCGTCCAGGGGCGGAAAAGGGCTATAAAAGACACGCCGAATATGTTGATGAATAAGAGCTACATTGTGTGAATGGTTGTAGCGGCTCTCAAGGACGGATGCCCTGAATTCGCCAGGCTGCCGACAGCCTGCTGCCCTCCATACTATTCTGTATGCACCGAATTACGGGCCGAGTACAAGGATACGAACTTTTGTTCAATTTCATGAAGCTCAGGTGCGCATAATACCTGAGGAGAACCCACACGCGGCATGAGCAATCAACCGATACACAGTGGAGGAAGGCCGGTCTGTGAACCCACCCTTCCCCGCCCCAGAGCCACACTGACAGCTCACCAGACTGTGCAGCGGGCCGCCAAGATCGGCATTCAATAACTCTTGAAGAGGCCCTGCAATCGTAACGCGTGCACGCTATGCATTTTCAGAAAGCCTTAACCGGAGCTCCGCATGAAACACGAATGCATGAACACAGAAGGGGCTGCTGTTCCGTTTATTCTCTACTAATGACGGTATCCTGAAGCGCTAAATGCCAAGAAGATGAATTCTCACCCGAAACTATTGCCTGATCATCCGCTCCGACGCGCGCCAAGCCAAAAGCGAGGATGCTAGCAACACCTTCTGCATAGAGAGACGTCAGAAGTACCACAGGTGTCTTTCGCATGAAAGTCAAAAAGCCACGACTCCAAAATAGCTTTAAAAGCCCTTTATGCTACTCAGAAGAAACATGAAGAACAACGAAACGAGCAGCAAATTACAGGCAACTTACCATCGCCTTGCATTTCTGCCGCCTCAAAAAGCTGCCTGATAGCTGTGTTGACAGTCATGAATCTGATAATGAAACATAATGCAAATACATAACAAGCACAGATGTGAAATCCCTATTAGCAGATGATGGAATTCCCGAAAGTCGTAAACGTGCTACGGTGAGGCCGCGACGATGTAAATGGCACCGCTGCTACGATGAAACCGTGAAGAACTCACCTGGGAGGTTCAAATATGTTGTTCCCTTTCATTAGATTTTCAACCGTTTGCTCCTTAACTTTGATGTCTGCAGAGACAACGACGGTGGAATCTGGACAGCCAGTCGCTAAACAAAAGAATGAAACCGTGCAAAGTACCGAGTTGCGACTGTAGTTCAACTCTTACCCAAAAGGCACAATGTATGCATGTTGTTCTCTCTATTCTTTTGAATTTTTTCATAGAAGCTAACAGGCTTCCACCCGCCGTCAAAGAAGGGAATAGAGACGGTTTCGCCGAACCGATACAACTGTGACACACATTCAACTGATGAACATCGAATGAAACTACGTGTGACACGAACATATAGTTCAGACAGCCATCTAGTCCTTTATTCACTGCAAGTTACCTGAAGGCCGCAGGCTGCAACAGCGCTCATGATGGACGCATTATGTATAACCTTGACCGTCACCCCCTTATCTCTTGCACGCAGATACAGGTCCGAGTGCGTAGTTGCACTGAAAACATCAGAGTCAGCTTGTGTTCATCAGTTGCAAACCTCTATTACGTGTTTCCAACAAAAATTAGTAGGGAGCTCACAGTGTTGTACGTTTTAACAAACTAACCAGAAAGGATCCCCAACGACGAGGCAGGCAACACGCTTTGTCTTTGCTGCCTCTAGCATCGCCTCTGCGCTCCCTTCCACAAAATCTCTGTCAGCTAATATGATTGGTTTCTCAAAAAAGCGCTCCTGTGCATGGCAAGCATGGCAGCCAGACATCCCACCACGCAGACGGTGTAGGATGAGGCCCCCACTACCGAGACGTGAGAGTTGAGCTTCAGATGAACGAAGAGTTGAATCTGACCCTGAATGCATGCTGTGCTGAGCTTACGAGTCTGTTGGTGTCCACGTTGAGGGTGGCAGTGTAATTCTCGAGGTAGAGAATATCCGCGGCGCGAATCGCCTCAAGCCCTCGAATGGATACATCGCGCTCATCGTTCAAGCCGAGACCCACAAGAGTAAGCACCATACTCATATAATGTTATACCGGGTCTGATTCTGGAGAGATTAACGAACGAAAGGCGAGTAGAAGACTAACCTCCGCTTCATGCAGTGGTCGATTCTAAATTTACCAGAGAGGGAGTCATCTAAGTGGGACAGACGCACATATTTCCGTGTAACTCTTTATTTCAAAAAAGCGAATCCCCTGATATCCAGAAGCTAATCAACAGTGTGCGTCTGCAGCGCTTCAGTATCGAATTTTCCAGTTCGGTGTTGGGGATAACCGGAAAGAGAGGCAAAAAGGGGAACAAAGCTTCACACTCTACACCTAAGTAATGTTTTGTGTGGTAAAATTGTATATTTGTTCGTTGCGATGGTGTTATATGCAAAGTATGAGTGTTTCCCTCTGACTTTACGGGAGTAGCAGGCCTTGCATGTCCATCATTGCATACGGAAAGCCCCTTCCATTTCTTGTTAAAGCCTTTCTTCTAGGCCTCTGCCTATAATCATTAATTCAATGGCAAGCTGTAAGATATGAATCATATACCGTTAAGAATCTTCCTATACGCAGCGTGTCTGATGCGCCTGCGAGTCTGATGTTCGGCCTTGCCCGTCACGAGTCCAGAGGTAGAAGCAGCGCTTTTCCAAAGCTGTACAGGCGCCCTCGGGTAATTTAAAAGCACAGGGACACAAGTATTGCGCCGGCGCAGTAGTTTCTCTGGCTTTACTTCTTCAGATCAGAGTATCAGTTTCGACCATTCATGTTCATGTTGACGTCTGCGCTTGGTCACGAAGAGGAGCTAAGAGGACACCAGTGAAGATGTCTACGTTCGCGGTAAGTGAAGCACGCCTGTTGTGCAAATTTGGAACAGCATTAGGCCTGCAGGGTGAGGATCGCTCAGCGCACAAGTCCCAATTTGCATTATCGGGGATGCACTTGCTCTGAGTTTAGTCTACTTATTTTCACGGCCTACAATGGTGCATGCGTCTGGTTTTTTCGGAAAATCAGCAGATGGTTTGTCCTGTAACTGTGCATTTTGGTTTCAGAGACGTAGGATCGTGCAGGATATCTCGCGCATCACTCGCGACCCGCCTCATGGAGTAAAGGCATCTCCGTTTTCCGACAACATGATGTACTGCCATGCAATCATAAATGGGTGCGGGCCTAGTGGATATGCTCTGTGTTAGTATCACTTATTTGGCCTGTTTTGAGGTATTTATATTTGCACGTATTATCCGTTTCGTAGTTAAGCACTGCATCTGTATGCGAGGCCAATCAAGCGTTCAATCTCCGGAAGTGCTTTGTCGCTGATAAATGCAAACTCGAAGACACTGTGCCCATGCGTTCTGTTGCTGATAAGTGCAGACCGGAAGACACTATGTGGGAGGCAGGCACTTTCCACTTGCTAATAAAGTTCACGGAGGACTACCCAACATCGCCTCCTCATGTCCGATTTCTGACACGAATGTACCACCCAAACATTTACTCGGATGGAAAAATTTGTTTGGATATTCTGCAAAACCAGTGGAGCGCCATGTACGACGTCGCTGCAGTCTTGACTTCTATTCAAAGTCTTCTTAGCGACCCCAACCCGGACTCTCCGGCAAACCCCCAGGCAGCAAAAATGCTCGTTAACAACAGGGTGGAGTACGACCGACTGGTTTTGGTACGTAATCGAAATACACATTGTGCGTGCATAGCGTCACCATCTGTTTTGCCATTTTGCTCCGAGCTATCAGTAATTTCTGGTTCTGGAAGCGGTGGCGGATACGAGCGAACTGTATGCGTGTGCTGAATTTTCAGGAATGTGTTGAGGATAGCTGGGCGATCCCTGTGCTTCCAGAGGGTACATTTGACGAAGAATGAGAGGAATTATTCGGGTTGTGCAGTGCCGCATCCCAGTAGTTGTAAAAAGCCAGCCAGGCGCCCTTAGCCCAAAAAAATGGGCGAGTTGAGGCTCGTAAAGCCGCAGCGAAAGCTGATCGAAAAGGTGATGTACATATCCCGGTGTCCCAACGGCTAGGTGGAGCGTTGCGTCATGTTCCACTCTCCGCTAGCTCATAAAGGAATCCGGGTTCGCAGTCTGACAAGACATATTCTCTTCGCGCTGAATTCGCGCAACTGCCCCTTGCCCGCGGGCCAGTGCTGCACCTTGCCAAGTTCAAAGCGACCTGTTTTTTTTTCATTTTGACCAGGCTGTAGACGTCTAATTCTGCTGCTGATCAGTCAAGTCATGAAAGGGGAGCCACTGTAGCAAAATATATAGCAATTATAGCAAGCGAGGCGGGACAGGCGCGGTTCATGCAAGGTGAAAACATTTGCTGTAAGAAGGAAGCAGATTTACTAATTTAGCGTGCTACTAATGTGGCGTGTTTGCCGCATTGCAAAATGGGTTTAGAAGAGGAGAAGAATCTGATGAGAATCGTAGTTCGAGGTCCTTGGGAACAGCTCCTCCATAGGATTTAGTTGCCGGATGGATTCACATTGTTTTTAGTCGTCCTCATGCTGCAGGTTGGGCTCGTTGCCCTGTGAACACAACTTGAAGTATTCTTCAAGACGAGGTATCTGAGAGGCTCCAAGCATAACATTGTGAACACCAACTTGCGTGGCCGCCACCCCACCCGCACGTACGGAGTACCAGCTACATAGCCGGATTTGAATGCCTTGAAGTCTCACTGGGGGTGTTGCTTACCAGTTTTTCGAATTCGCAAAGCTCCTCCCCGTCCATCCACATCAGTCGCCTTCCGTACCTGCGGCGCAGATGCCACAGAGAAACTGCATTTCATGCAAGTCCTCACTATGAAATGTTCTTGCTCTAAGCGGTTACGGGTATGCACCTGCCCGTGACAACGTCCCAATCACCTATCAACGAAGCATAGAACAGGTTCAAGTTCTCCGTCTTGATCTCTTTTCGCGTTGAAGACGAAACACTTTTTCCCGGACGGGAGCTGCGAACACATAAACGCTTGTCGAACTCCCATAATAACAGCTACACTACGAATCTAAGCCAACGCAATGTATCGTCAATTTACATCATGTCGACCAATTAGTCACGCAGGGGGACACAGCAGACAAAACTACACACTAGTGGATCTGCAAAAAACTTCTCTGGCAATAATCGCTACGGGGAGAGCTGAAGGTGGGCATTGCCGACCTCAATGCTAGGGGACCTCGAGTCGGGATCAAACCAGTAGACTCGACGGAAAACTCGCCCACAGGCATCATTTCCACTAGTCTGCTCTTTGGCGGTCTTTAAAGACTTGGCTGTGATGGGAACAGATGAAAAGAACACTGCTGGCGGAGATTTTCTGCCACGTGTGACGACGGAACCCTCATTTCTAACGAAAAGACAGAAGAGTCGGTGTGCTACACACATGTGGGCGGTCATGTTTCTCCAAGATATACTGCAAGCATTTCGCCTTAAACCTACTCTGCGACAGAGGAAAGTGGTACACCACTACGAGGCTGTGTGAAACATGCTACACAGCGCATCCTTGGAGGCTATTTAAGGATATGCAGAAACTTTTCAAATTCGCAGCAAGACGCAGATTGATCAAGACCATTTGGTTCACAGTAAATGATACAAATATTTCCAATTTGAAGCGGAAATGGCAAGATTCCTTCGTCGCGGAAAGGCAATGCTGGAAAAAAACAGTTGTGATCCGAAGATCTGACAGCGGATGTTCAGGTGTACATGCAGCACACCATGTGATCCCGTCCAAACGGGTGCAGCGTTCATCATTTTATCATATTTAGTCGATTCTGTCCATATTTTTTTGGACCTTTTGCTTCCTTCCGATCGTACTTCTATACAGGAAGGCTCGAAAATGTCGGACATCGAATCCCAGAGAGTCCTCGGGGCTGGGATCCCGCGGACTGGCAGACTGATTGATGTTGGTAAGCAAAAACCGGCCTACGAAAAAAAGTTCTTAGCTTATGACTATTCTTTCAGCCTTCCCTAACATTTCACTGGACAAGCAAGTCTTCACTTCTGATGCGTTGCGACACGGGGATTCTCATACATCATTGCGTACACAGGTCGATTGTTGTGATAACGTTGGCCCAGATCGCGGTCTACATTATGTCATGTGCGATGTCGTCGGCTTTTGAGGTAGGGGAACTTTGGCATTGGTTAACAGAGACCGGCGCTAAATTCTTGCCTACAGCCTACGGAGCGCGTCTTGTACCAATTGGGCGCTACCTACGGACCTGGGATACGGTATATACATGCTACTCCCTAAAATTCAGAACCAGTACAGCACTACGTCAACTCAGGCACCTCCAAGCATGGAGGCTTATCATGCCTGTTTTCCTTCATGTCGGCATTGTCCATTTGCTGTTCAATGTTCTCTTCATTTTGGTAGGTGTTTTCGAACATGCCCACACGCACATGAGCATGTGAATATCACATCACCTCTCAGCACATGGGACTTGACAAGGAAATAAAGTATGGGAGGACGAATTTCCTCATACTATACTTCTCCTCTGGTAAGAGTGCTACACTGACATGTTGAAATGACGTCCGAAACATCCGGCCTCCAGCTCTTATCGGGAACATGTTCACTGTCTTGATGCGGCCGTGCTCCTTGGTATGCACTTTACAGACAAGCCTTACAATGAACTTCTTGAAACGTGCTCCTCCAGGCTGTTGGTGCGAGTACAGCAGGGTTCGGTACGCCAGTTATTTCACCTTCTAGCCTTAAAAAACCTCTACTATAACGCACTTCAGGTCTCGTGGGTTCCATCCTTGCCGAGATCTTGATTGTCTGGCACAAGCTTGACGAACGCACAAGGAACATGTACACACTCGACATGACTGTATTTGGTGCTTTGATGATTCTTCTCTCCTACGGACAAACTGGTATGCCATTTTCCGTCCTTGTTGTTATCAAAAAGTGATGCAAAATGTGAACTTTAGTCGACATCTGGGGCCATTTGGGAGGTTTCGTCTGCGGGTTCGCAGTAACGTGTGAATTCAACAAGAACATAAGGGACCTTCCTCAGTAAGCCGATCCACCGATTATCCCGCTTGAGATCAAGCCATAGCCATTCTTTACAGTTGGTTTGACCTGGCCAAGAATGGGACAAGAACTATTTGCTTTGGTGTTGTCGCTCTTACACTTGCACGTGTATTCCTTGGCCTTCCTTTGCCCATGGTAAGATTCAAATTGGCATAGAGTGTTCTGGACTTCGTTTAAATCTACGTTATTTGCAGGGATGCGCATAAAAACGGCCGCTTGTTGCGGACCCCTTGCGAGGCCACGGCAACTATTAAACCTTCGAACCTACTTTGCGCCAAAAACGAGATTAGCATGGAAAATGCCGTTTCACTTGTTCGTAAAGATTCTCTAATGTTGAATTATTATCTAGAGCAATGTCTGCTAGTGAAACTTTCTCCTTAAGAGGGAGTTGGCTCTTGATCATTGACTTTAGTAGCTCCGCAGATGATGCCCGATCTCTTGTAACAAGACGGCGTAGTTGCAAGTCTTCTGCTACGTAGACCACCGCGACTGGGCCGCACACCAGATTAAGTCCTGTTTCGAATAGTAGAGGAATATCCACGAGGACGCGTCGCTTCCACAGACAGATGCGAAATTTAAATATTCGCCATAAGATCGTTGCAATGATCCATGGATGTGTCAGCCGGTTTAGTAAGCGTCGTTTGGTTGGATCGTTAAACACAACATGACGCAAGAAATTCCTATCTACTTCTCCTGAACGCTGGTCAACTATGGAACTGCCGAAAGCATTCACAACACGGTAAAACGCTGGGGATCCGCGCTTCAAGATATCCCTCGAGATCTCGTCAGCATCAATCACCTCCCATCCGTGAGACTTCAAATAAGATGCGACAGTACTTTTTCCAGTCCCTAAACCACCTGTTAAACCCGGAACAAGGAAACGATAGCCAAGAACGGTGAAAAAAATACCCAAGAAGAATTGTACTGCAGAATTCGAGTATAGAAAAGCTTGGAATGTCGCCAGCAAGCAAATGTACGCAATTTTGTATTCGTTGCGCGATGTTTTCATGGAGAAAAACTTCGCAAGCACAAATCCTATAATGGCGTTGACAAGAAGGAGTGCAAAACCAATGGCTGACCAAATTGCCTGAGGGGCCACCATTGTTTGTACAAGGTCGTCTGGTGAATGAATGTCCGTATCCGCGAGCAGTCAGTCAGAGCTCTTCCACCGTGATGTGAAACTCATCAGAGAATGTGCTGCACGTGGAGTAGAACCACAATGGAAATAATCCAGAATGCCAAGTTTATAAGCCTAGCCACACTTTGCGCATCTGCAATGGCGGCTGTGGAACGACTTTGGCTGGCAAGCCACAGCACCCTTTAGGAGACTGTGCCTCACAGGGGACAAAAACAGCTTTTCCGTACATACAAATTTGTAAAATTTGTTCCTGTCCTCAAAAAGGAAGGTCAGATTCAGTTGAACGAATCCGACACCTGCTTGCCGAAAGAGGAGCAACCGCTGTCTGCTAGGACACAGGTGCCCTCACCTAGTACGTAGGGAAAAACTCGAGGTGGATTCATTCTGTGAAAAGCTTAGTATATAGCCGCGTCATTAGCGGCGATGAAGCGTGGGGCTGCTTAGAGGCGTCTTTGCTACACTCTGCCTGGCTACTGTTGGCACATGCGCTGAAGGAGCTTTCACGCAAACCAACTCACATTCGTACTTGTCTGAATAGTTAATTCGCCTATTTAAACAATGATGCAATCATTATGGGGCGCTCCTACGTCTTGATCCCGGATGGGATTGACTCGTCAGATGACGCCGCTGCTCAAGTCCAGCGTTTGCTTCAACTGTCAACACCCAAGGAGACAGACCCTGGGGGCCTCGTACGTCTCTGAACCAGTAGACTTCCATATCAAAGCCTATTCTTCTCTTGCAGCGCGCGGTACTAAGAGCTGACAGAAGTCTCACGCTCAGGCTCGGCCTCCACCAGCCGACTCCTGCAACACTGGCAGCCCGGGTGTGCCAGTGAAAAATAATGGGGGTGGCACAAAGACCTTTTCTACGTTTTCTGTGTGTCCTCACGTGCGTAGACGTTTTGCCTTCAGGTTTCACTGCTACTTCTTCTACTGCTTATTCTGCTGATACTAGTGGCGTGGAAGACGTATGGAGGCCTCCTGCGTGACTTCTATGAAACGTACGGCGCTCCCGTAAAGTTCCATTCGTCTTCGGGGACCGGTTGAAGCTGGGGAAGGAATCTTTCAGTTCTTGGGTCTCGGCATGGAAGCTGTTCTACCCGCATGGCCATCATGGAACTCACTGTGAAGTGACTTGAGGGCCAGTGGATTTCGAGGGAAGGCCACGTTAGTGCTTGCCGCGCCGTCGTTGGCGGGGAGCACCGGCGGAGGTCTAGCGTGCATGAGTTTTGGTCGGCATCCTCCGCACAGTGTTTGTAAGCTGGCAGTCGATGATGGTGGAGAGTTCCCGAGAGGGTGCGGCGCCGAGCTCGGCGAGCTCGGAAGAGGCGGCGGGGAGTGTGGAGTTTGAGGCGTCGGAGCGGCTGGAGCTGATGGAGAGCGGGCTGCCGCTGTGCATTTTCCTGGAGTCTTCGGAGGTGGTGGCGATGCGGCCGCCGGCGCCGCTGTACGTGTTCGCGCCGAGGGTGTCGTACCTGCCGACGCTGATTGACAAGTGCCACGAGCACTTCAAGCCGTACATCCAGCCGTCGTTCGGGCAGCCGACTTCGCCGTTTTTCGACTTCTGCGGAGTGCCCCTAGACTGGCGGCTGCCGATCGGCGTGGCGTTCGACATCCTAAGCGCGCTGAAGGGCGGGCGCGCGAGGCGGCTGGCGAGCTGCGGGGAGGCGGAGCCCGCGGGGGAGGCGGGGCTGGGCGAGCTGGCGGCGAGCGGGTGCGACGTGGAGCTGCCGTGGAGGCTGACGATCCACTTCCACGGGGGCGCGGCCACCGCGGGGGGGGCCCCCGGGGCCCCCGCGGCCCCTGGGACCCCCGGGGGCCCCGGGGGCCCCGGGGGCCGCGGGAAGCAGGTGTTTGGGTTTGCAGAGTTCGTGGGGTGGGCGGGGTTCGAGAGCTTCTTCCTGAACGCGCTGAAGCAGGCCACGTACGTCATGCACGGCTCCGCAGTGCCCTTCCAGCGGCTGCCGAAGGCCGCGGAGGTGCAGCTGCTGGCCGCGCTGCGCGCCGCGGCCGTGCGGGACTTCCTCGCGGGCTGCAGCCAGCTGCTGCCGCCGCTGACGCCGCGGCACTTCCGCCGCATTCCCGTGCGCCTCTACGTCTGCGGGCCGCCCTGCCTCGAGCTTTCCCTCAGCTTCCCCTGCTTCAAGACCCCGCGGCTCAGCGCCGCGGCCAGCTCCCTCGAGGAGAGCAGCCCGCGGCCTCCGGGCAGCGCGGCCGCCGCCGCGGAGGCCCCTGCTGCTGCTGCTGCTGCTGCTGCTGCTG